GAGGAGGCAGGATTCAAATCTATACATCTACTCTAATAATAGAGCCGGGATACAACAGGTTTGGTGGTCATCATACATTCACCTATAAAGGAAGTGAACAATAAACAACAAGATACTACATTCAATAAAATTTACTTCCGTCCCTTCTTTGCAAAATGAAGAAGAAAAAAAAAGACAATATTGTGACAATTTTATATCACTTTTAGTTATCCTCCGCAATACAAATTCTTCGAATCGATTGATTTTTGGAAGCGGTCAATTATCCACGGTTTGCAAACATCCAGTTCGGAACGAGCATAGCTTACCACGTCGAACATGTAAGTATCAACTAGATCTTTAAGCCCTTTAATTTGAAGCAATGCATATGACATGTTTGTGGAAATGACCGAGTAACATTGAAAACGGCCTCAATGGAAAAAAAGTGAGTTTAGTTACATGCCATCTTTTAAATTAAATTCATAAACCTGAAAATTTAGGACTACAAAATTTACAGAGTATGTATATATTGTGTTTATACTATAAGTTGGTAACAATTCTTTTAACTATTCTGTTATACGTATCGAGATCTCATAATTTGTTTCCAGGGTTAAATAAAGGCACTAATACGTATCGAGATCTCATAATTTGTTTCCAGGGTTAAATAAAGGCACTAATATATATACGCAAACCCTTGTTCCGGCGAAGAGAATTGCCACTAGGGAAGTAATCGATGAATGGTTTACGATGGAAGAATCGGATGGGCTAATATTGCAATAAGATGACAAATGAAATATTCACTCCTTGCTGCAAAAATCCAATCAACCTAAGTGGCATGTCAGAAAATTATGTAGTGAAGCACGGTTATTTTCCATGGGGGCACGGAGAAAAAGTAACAACTAAGTAACGGTTTATCAAGATGCTCGTATTGAAGTAAGTAAGAAACTTTGAGTACCCCCAATGTAAAACTGTAAGAAATTTGATCTTGAATTATTACATATATAGTCGCGCGGTGTATATGTGACAATTACCGTTCTAAATTACCTGATGATATATGCTTGACCTATTCCGATTGTTACAGGGGCAAAACCGTCACAAGCCACAAGTGACTGAAGCTCGACATCAATTGCGAGAGCATCTTGATAAAGCGTTATTTTTGTTTCCTCGTTCCTTGTCGCCATGGAAAATAACTATGTTTTACTCAAAATTTTCTGAGATGCCACTTAGTTAGTTGGGATTTTTGTGGCAAGGAGTATTTATTGTAAACTATCCTTCTATTGTAATTTGTAAACCATTCATCTATCATCTTCCTTGTAGCAATATTTTTATTCGGAAACAATATAATGGCAATCTTTAACTCTGCATTTGATCTTGTTGGAATTCATATTTGTTTTTATGTGTATTTCTTGTATCCTCATTACTAATTGAGTAATTGCAAGACTTATGTTGGAAAGTTTAGCTAAAGTAGAATTAAATGTTCTATTTGACAAAACCTCCATTGTATTTCGGTAGAGTGATACATCCAAATTTAAATCCTATATTTTAGATAAAACCTTGAATTGCAGAATACCTGTCTTTTCAGGTTTCTATATTTAGAATTTTTTTTCTTTTTTTTTTAAATTACTATTTTTCGGTTTTTTTTTATGTTTTATTTTAATTTCGACTATTTCAAAAAAAAATCATTTTTTACAATTTCTTTAAAATTTTCTTTTTTTCGGGCACATTTTACCAAATTAAAATCCACCATAAAATTATCGAAATTCACTATGTAATTAACATAATACGTTACAAAATAAGGTAATTTACCTACCAAATTAACGCAATTCACCATTAAATTAATGTAAATCCACTACGAAACTTGAAAAGCCAACTTATATTAATATAAATAACAAAATCACAGATGCCATAAAATACAATATCCTTTGGCAGAAAAAAGAAAGAAAGAAATCACTAGGAAAAATCTAACGAAACTGTTCTCTGCTTAATTTTCAACTAGTCATGTATTTGCCTATTTATTTAAATAAGGAAAACACTAGAAAAAGAAAAAAGAAGAAAGAAATCACTAGATATTACTTAGAATACTAAATAGTCATATGTCTAACTATTCATGTATTTGCTATTCATTTAATACATTGTATTTACAAATAGATAATTCGAGAAAGTGCATTATTTCCGACAATAAAATTGTCGAATACGGACTAAATCGCTCAAATTTATAACCTCGATTTAATCGAACTTCTCAGTTCGGACATGTGGCTTTGTATCGTTATATATATTTCAATTGCATAGCTTGTTGACAAAGTTGCTCATATTCTATATACTATATTGTATTGTTTGGACAAATGTATCTAATTAATTAGTTAACTATTTCTAGGATGCAATTTTACATTGTTAACGTAAAATACACTAGCCGCTTTCAGCCGGCAGATGTTTTCTTATAGAACTAAATTAATAATAATGCTATAAATAGAGTAAAATACAAAGCAAAGTTGATTAATTAGGAAGGCTCTCTTGCATTCGAAGTTAAGCAAAATGGCGCTAAGAGCTTTCTTGGTCGCGGTAGTCGTTGTAGTAGCAGCCGTTTCTCCTGCCCTGGCAGTTGATTATATTGTCGGAGATGACGCGGGTTGGAAACTAGATTTCGATTACACTAAATGGACGGAGGGGAAAGATTTTCGTGTCGGTGATACTATCGGTATTTTTCTTTTTGTTAATTTTTGTTTTCTTATTTCGATGTACAAATAACTTAATATCCAACTAGGAAACGAGTTTGAATATCTAAACTGCAAAAAATACCCCTATATAATCTTTAAATAGCAAAAAAGCCCATGTGATAAATAAACTAGTAAAACCCCCCTATGAAATTATTTATATAGCACACTCGATCCATTATTCATTTGAGTGTTGACTTGAAATAAAAAGACATAAATGCCCCTGAGGTTTTGCAATTAATAAATTCTTATATTTTATAAATATTTTAATTATTTTATTTTGGTTATATCTTAGTTAGAAAAGTACAATGGAGTCTTTAATTTCTATTTTTATTATCAGATAATTTATGTATATATTTTAACTTATCCTTACATCAAAAGAAAACAAAGAAAACTTAAATTTAATTATTATGTATTTAAAAAAAGATATACTTAATTTCATTACTAAATTTTCAATAATTTTTCAATTTAATTGTTTATTAATTTTTTAATAATATTTTAATGTGTAGACAGTCCAATAAAAATGAAAATATATATACATATAAATACATTTTAGGGACAATTTTGTCATTTCACGTCTAAAAATCAGCTATCAGTCGCACATCCAGCGAGTGAGCCACACGAAAGTCAACTAGGAGTTTTTTACCTTTGACCAAATTTCACAAGGATATTTTTGCCAATTTATTTATCACATGGAGATTTTTGCTATTTGAAGATTACAGGGGTACTTTTTGTAGTTTATTCTTAAATATAAATATACTGCAGTAAGGTTATTCCATAGGATACTAGATAAAGAAGTAAACTCATCTAAATATAAACTCGCACAAATTGATTGCACTTGTAAAAAAAAAAAAAAAGAAAAAAAGAAAAGACTGAATATACCAAACTGAATTATTAGTTCGGTAACGAAATTTCGATTGGGTACTGTTTTATCAAATCGATGAACAACATATTGTAACTAATCTATGTATGTGGTGCAGCATTCAAGTATAAACCGGGAGTTCACAATGTTCTAACGGTGAACGGGGCCGATTTCCAACGTTGTACCTCCACAAACGCGACATCTGTCCCTTTGACGAGCGGAAAAGATGTAATTACCATTTTGTCCCCAGGTACGAAGTGGTACATTTGTGACATTGGCGACCATTGCTCCATGGGGATGAAGCTCGTCATTAGCGTATCCGCCGTGGCTGAGGGGCCCACTCCTGACCCGACACCTGGCACTTCGGCCGCCGCCCGGAAAGTCTCTCTGTTGGAATCTTGTGTGCGGTGGGTTGTAGCTGCGATGTCTGCCTATATGATGATGAATATGATCATGACTTATTGAACATTTATATATACTCAATTGTTTTTTGTTCTTTATTATTTTTGTGGTTTATTGATAAAGAAATGTTATCATCATGGAAATTTCAATGGAATTGTTTCCCTTGTATTTTGGAACCCAATGATTTTATTATTTATTTAATTATTAGAAAATAAAAGGTGAAAATTGAGAGTGCGTTTGAATTCAGTGATTTCAATGATAGGATTTCGAATCCTTTTGGATCAAATTCATAGAATTTGAAATCTCTTACTTCGATGTATAAAAGATTTCAAATCCATTGTTTCAAACACACGCACGTTTAATAATACCCCCTTAATAAAAAGAAATAAAAACAAAAAAACAATAAACAAGATCAACCCTATATATAATATTAATTAACTATTACAAAGAAAATGTTGTACCTGAAGAAAAAAAAAATTAAAAAAATACGTAGAATAAAATCTGTAAAATTTATGAAACACGTAAATGGAGAAGATGATTTTTGTCTTGTATTTCATCGATGAGTGTATCAACGTTTATATACACACAAAATAGGAGAAATAGAAGGAATAAATAATTACATATTGTTGGCGCCAAATTTTCACCGATAAGAAATCCGCCATACCAAGTAAAGATTGGCAAAGATTTGTTCCCATGTTTATTTTGGAAATTTAGAGTCCTACCTTTGTAATACTTTAGAACTTAGATTTATTTCCTTGTACTCTATTCTAATTAGGAATCTTTTATAGTTATCTAGATTAGAATTAGATATTGATTAGGATTATGTTTCCTAGTTATTCGATTTCTTAGGGAATAAGGTAGGTCTTTGGAGGCCGACTTCACGTCTATATAAGTCTCCTCGACAAACAAAGACCGTGACACTTTTTGGGAGAAGAATTACTCCATAGCTTTGAAGAATTGCTGAAACGTTCTGCTGGACAGAACTGTGCCATCGTTGCATGTGTCAACATATACAGATCCGCTGTATAGATCTCAAGGGAGATCAACCGCGTCACTGAAGGGAGTTCACCTCCTAAAAGGAGTTCTAGGCACGCGGTGTGGAGCTGCTGTTGGAAGAGACACGGAGTTCGAGTTGTGTACAAGAACGGTATAAATAATTAAAGAGGGAGTCTTAATTATTTTATAAGTCCTATTAATGTACACTGTAAATCTGAACTAGTGAAATCGTGTTTGTAGGTCCACGTGGATGTAGGGCACAGTTGTGTCTGAACCACATTAATTCTTGTGTTCTGTTTATTTGCTTTAGTAGAATAGAACTGTGTTAACACAAGAATTACAGTTGTAACTAAAACATTGTTTCGACTAATCAAATTGTTACAACTAGAGAATTACTACTAGATATACATAGTGTGTGATTTTGGGAATTTGATTTATTTGCCATTTATCTTTCATAGGTACTATGAGTTCTCATATGGAAGGAGGTTCCACTACTCGCCCACCACTGCTTACGGGAACCAACTGCTCCTATTGGAAGACTAAGATGAAGATGTTCATAAAACCAATGCATGAAGACGCGTGGCGGACAATGTTGACTGGATGGAAACGACCCGTTGCCACTGATGAAAAAGGAATTAGCA